GCTACTGTTCAGCTTCCACACTCCGCACAAACACGTGAACAGCGCACTTTTTTCTAGGCTAACATTAGATTGAGCTGTCGTGTAAAGTTGCTACTACGTAAATTTTTCAGATGATAAGCCATATTTGAGGTCGATGAATGTTAGGAGAGCAGATGGATGTCCTGCCCAATGTACTATATTACCACATAGACCAGCCGTTAATGATCTGTCCGTCACGGACTGCGTGATTTCGCCACTTTATGTGGAATTTTTTTTTCTGCGACTAATAACATTTTGGTAATATGCATATAAACAGCCTTTTTAATTAGCAGAGTAGAATAATCATGGCTGATAGTAAGACAAGCAAACATAAAAGAAAACCTTTTAGCCTTAAGATGTTTTGTGAATACGGGCCCAGATGTGCTAAAACATTAGCCACATTTAAATGCAGACTCAAAACTCATCTGTTTAGCTGTGCATTTATTGAATGAGCACTGTGCAATGTCCGAACTGATTGCACTGTATTTTATGTATAATAATTTTCTATTTTTAACTGTTTTAAATTAATTTTAAATCAATTTCTAAATCATTTTAAAAGTTAAGTTCCCTGTTTTATTGTTGTGATTTTTTAAATGATTATTTTACTTCCTTTTATGTAAAGCACTTTGAATTACCATTGTGTATGAAATGTGCTATATAAATAAACTTGCCTTGCCTTGTGCTTTTAGATTTAACTGCTGCTTTTAATACAGTAGATCATGCTGTTCTTATTGCCCATTTTGAACATTGTGTAGGCATTACAGGCAGTGCACTGGAGTGGTTTAAATCTTATTTTACCAACAGAAGCTTCTCAGTTAAGATTGGAGAATATACCTCTAGTAATGCTGTTTTATCGTGTGGGGTTCCTCAGGGCTCCATCTTGGCCCCAATTCTATTTTCTCTTTACATGCTGCCACTCGGTTCTATTATTAGAAAACATGGGCTGCCATTCCATTGTTACGCTGATGAAACACAAATTTATCTGCCCTTCAAGCGAAATTCAGATGGTTTGGATACCCTCTTGGCCTGCTTGACTGATGTAAAGGGTCTTTAAACTTTCTGAATTTCAATGAGAGTAAAACAGAAATTATTATATTTGGACCCTCCGATTCCTCTGTCACTCCTAAACTAAATTTGGGTGGGCTGTCCTCAGTTGTGAAACCGTGGGTGAAAAATTTGGGCGTTGTGTTTGATGAATCACTGAAATTCGACAGGCTCGATTAATTCTGTGGTGAAATCCAGCTTTTTCCAGCTTTGACTTTTATTGAAAGTAAAGACTTTCTTTCTTTTAAAAATGTTGAAAAAGTAATTCATGCCTTTATTTCTTCAAGGTTGGATTATTGCAATTCTCTTTACGTTGGGATTAGTCATTCAGCTATGTCCCGATTACAATTAGTCCAAAATGCGGTAGCGACACTTTTAACAGGTGCTTGTAAACGGGATCATACTACCCCTGTCTTACCCCTGTGCTATATAAATAAATGAATTTGAAGTTGAATAATCATAAATACTACTCAGTATTGTTTCTGATTACTATACATACAATAACACCACATTTGATTAGCTATCGATGTTTTTGCTATTTCTTAGACGGAAAAATCTTTCTGAAAATGATTCCAACGATATTGTTCTTCTGTCCCTTTATCTTTATAGTTGTCATGTGGACTATTCTGTTCTCTTTATTTGTAAAACTTTAAACTATCTTTATATTTATATCCTCGATTCTGATTGTCTTTCCAGCCATGAAATGTTCCACAAGTTTCGACATGGGAACTGTTTCAGCATTTGTATCACTGCGCTTGCAGCATTTCTCACAGCGAGTGTCATGGCGGACGCCCCAAATCTACTATCATTTTACAAATAATATCGTGTCACAACATGTAGTTTTAAGAGTTTCTAAAGTGAGAATCTAGTTGTTTCAACTTCAAATATGTGGTTTGTTAATAAAGATAACGTCTATTTGAAAATTAGCGTCAATGTTTTGGGAGATGTGAGCTCCAGGGCGTCAGCAGCCATTCAGCGCTCACGAACCCGCCGAGAGCAGCCTCACCTCGGCCAGATCTCCTGGAATTTGCCGCTGGCTCTGAGGCCTCTATAGTGGTTAAACATGTGATATAATTCGTTTTGGGTAAATCTGACGGGCAGTCTTTGGTCTCATTATTCTATTATTTGTTCCAGAGCAAAGAGTTTTGGAGGAGGGCAAAATGTCATAACTTTATATTTTTATATACTTTCCTTAGTTTCTAGTTCTAATGTGACATTCCCTTTCTAGATGGTGGCTCAGTGTTGGGGCAACACCTTTCTCCTTGAAATACTAAAGCCTTTTTTGCATTGGAACAGCCAATGGCACTCAAGCGTGCGGGAACGCACTCTACTGTATATAAGCAGCGCTGAGCAGAATTACCTCATAATCTTTTTCCTTCATTTCACCGAATACTGGCCTCTTCTCGCTGTTGA